TTTTCTGATCCTTCTGTAGCTCCTTTCTCTGATTTTTGCCTGCCCAATACTCTTCCTACAGCTTCTGTTTTGACCAGGAACGCATCTCCTATACCTCCTCCACTCCCTTTCCCAGCCAATACCTCACTCCCAAACCAACAACCTGCTAATTCGTCGTCCACCCATCATCTGCCTGGCCAAATGTCCACACCAACATCACCCCAAACTCCTCCCACTCACGGTCACATAGATTTCACCTCAGCAGCAGCCGAGTTTCAGGACCCTAGCCCACCCGGCACATCTGCCACCTCATCTCCATTAACCACGGTCATTACTACCAGTTCGCCCGTCAATTCTTCACCTCCTGCGACCATACCTCCTGCCCCTCACACAAACTGTCATCTGCAAACCAGGGCCAAATCCGGAATTTTTAAGCCTAAAACAATTTTTAATTTGCAAACAGTTGTTAATCAGGCAGATCCTACTTGTTTCTCCAAGGCACATAAAAATTTAAAATGGCACGAGGCAATGGCTGAGGAATTTAACGCTCTTATTACTAATAATACTTGGGAGTTGGTTCCGTTTGATTAGGGGTGGTTCGGTACGGTATACCTTATATTTTTGGCTAAAGGGTCAAATAGGTACATGAACTAACTTAAAGTGTTCAATTAGTCCCTTATATAGGAGGTTCTGTCCGGACGTCGCCAATTGGGGCGGTTCTTGGTGGAATTTTTTGATGAAATGTTTTGAGAATCTTCTTCATTAAGTCTAGTTTACTCATACCAAATTTCAGCTAAAAATTCAACCGAGAAGGTAGTCAAATGATTTTCCGAAATGTATTGTGCTGTTTAACTACGCAGTTATCTTCACAAAATCATTTGACTGCCTTCACGATTGAATTTTTAGCTGAAATTTGGTATGGGTAAACTAGACTTAATGAAGAAGATGCTCAAAAAATTTCATAAAAAAAATCCACCGGGAACCACCCCAATTGGCGACGGCTGGGCAGAACCTCCTATATAAGGGGCTAATTGAACACTTTAAGTTAGTTCATGTACCTATTCGACCCTTTACCCTATATTTTTTCTCATACCTTTGCCGTACCAAAACTTTCGGTACGCAAAATTTGCATACCTTTACCTTACCGAAGTTTCGGTATACCACATTTCGGTATACCGAAGTTTCGGTTCGGTAACGATACGGTATCGGTAAATTACCATGCATGTCTCCCAATACAAAAAATTATCATAGACTAACGAAATATACTAAATCGTTATTACTAGCGACATATTAAATCTATTATTAAAATGTTACGAAATACAATTAATAATCTATTGATGTCAATTCAATATTGAACAATAATTATTATTAGTGTATTTAAGCAGTTCAACATGCCACATATTAAAAAGTAACACATTCTCCTAAAATAACTTGAACAATATAGATATAATTAAATCAATATAGTGATCTCTAAAAAAAACTATTCAAACAACATGGATATAAAATTATTTATTCCTAATATGATATTGTGTATTTAGTCATTTTTTATAATTTTTTAAAAATTGAATAAGACTTTCGGACAAAGTTGTGTGTCTCGACTCGCGGATTTCCTATGTAGATACACTTATCACATAAGTGTATCTCTCTTCACTCGTCAGCTACTTAGCGGCCCAACCATCACGACTTGCAAGCTCTTGGAACAAGATGAACTTGTTTCTTGACATTTGTACATTACTCATTAGTCATTAGGGTTAGCATAGTAGAAGCCTACAAGGTTATAGTGTGTTTGAGAAATTGGGCCTTTATTTTTGTATTTTGTATTTGTAACCAACTTAAGTATTAATTTTGGGCTTCAAAATTGTAATGGATTTTTACAATATATTAGAATTAAAAGTAATTGTTGAGTAGGGAGTCGGTACGGTATTATAACGGTATACCACAGTATTTGAAAACATTTACCATTACCGTACCGAAATAGATCGGTACGGTATGATACCGTACCGAAAATGACGGTATACCAATATTTCGGTATTTTCCGGTATTTTTGTTGGCACGGTAAGTGCGGTATACCGATTTTTCGGTATTTTTTCCCACCCCTACGTTTGATAGCACTAAAAATGTGGTTGGTTCTAAGTGGATTTATAAAACTAAATTTTATTCCGATGGCTCCATTGAGCGCCATAAAGCGCGTTTAGTTGCTCAAGGCTTCAATCAGAAGGCAAGTATTGATTTTTCTGAGACATTTAGTCCGGTCATTAAACTCACCACTGTTCGTATTGTCCTTACATTAGCTGTTTCTTTTGGGTGGGTTATGCGTCAATTAGATGTCAAAAATGCCTTTCTTCATGGTCAACTTACTGAAGAAGTATATGTGCATCAGCCGCGGGGTTTTGTTCATCCTCTCTACCCTGATCACGTGTGTCGGCTGCGTAAGGCCATTTATGGCCTTAAGCAAGCTCCGCGTGCTTGGTTTCATAGATTTAGCAGTTTCCGTCTTTCTCATAATTTTCTGTGCAGTAAGTCTATTAATTCTTTATTCATTTATTGCACTGGGTCATCAGTTCTGTATTTATTGTTATATGTGGATGATATTATAATCACTGGCAATTCCTCATCTCTTCTCACTTCCTTCATCAGTATTCTTGCTTCACAATTTGCAATGAAAGATCTTGGTGATTTACATTATTTCTTAGGAGTTCAGACAGTTCGCACTCCCACATGTTTATTTCTCTCCCAGCAAAAATATGTGTATAACCTTCTTCATCGGTCCCAAAATTAGCACCCGAGTTTTACACTCGAGTTTTGCACTCAAGATTGTCAACTGAGTTTTACAGTCGAGTTTTGCACTCAAGGTTGTCACCCGAGTTTTACACTCGAGTATTGCACATGAGATTATCACCCGAGTTTTACACTCGAGTTTTTCACCCGAGATTATCACCCGAGTTTTACACTCGAGTTTTGCACTCAAGATTGTCACTCGAGTTTTGCACTCGAGATTGACACCCGAGGTTTTTCACTCGAGATTGTTACTTGAACCTGGCACCTTAGATATGCTTTGCACACTTGATAACCTTGACTCGGGTACCATGGGTGACCCAAATTCCCAAGTGGTGACCCGATTAATTAATGGGCGATCCAAAAGCCCAATTGAATTTCCAATTGCATGAGGGCCGGAACTTTAGCCTTGGTATGGGACCGTATGGTCCTTAGTGAACTATTACCTAACCATAAAGATTCTGGTGGATTTAAATACTATTGCTAGTCATACTTAGAACATATGATAGAATAAGGACAGGTGAGTGATCCGAAGTAGTTTTTGACTCATGCGCACTCATAGGGACGGGCGAGTGACCCAGAGTAGTTTCGACTCATACGCACTCATAGGATCGGTGAGTGACTCAAGTAGTTTCGACTCATACGCACTCATAGGGACGGACAAGAGTAGAACTAACTCATACAAGATTATAGGATGAGAGGATGACTTAGGAGAAGGAAAGACCAGTATAGCACTCAATAGACACGGTATAGGGCAGGGCCTGCGGGCTAGATATCTGGAGTTATTTTAAGGGAATGTGTGAGAGTCCGCGCGAGGACTACACCCTTACAATTGTTTTGATTAAAACAATTGCCCTGTGGGTCAGGTATTTTACAAGTATATATACTATGAGTATTATCGTATGGTTGGGGTAGTGTAGACCTATGCCTTTATGTATATGTGTGTGTATCATCCTATGTTTTGGATCGTATACTCGAAACATTTGTGATTGATCATAAAGCCTACATGTCACTGGTACAACTTTATGTGGAGTACTGACCCTTTCAGGGGCCCTCACTATTTTTCAGGTCGAGACTAAAGTCTGCTTCCTGCACCATTGTTCGGGTGACTATCGAATGGAAGATGTGGTTCGTGGTTCCTATTCTAGTTTTCAAATAATGTAACTGCTCATGGTATTTCTAAAATTATGTTTTGTAGACGTTTTGGGGCTTGCTTGCCTATGCTTGCCACGTGTGGCCAAAGTTTAAATAGTTGTATTCTGCACTTTGTTTGACTTAATATTGATGTTTCTTATATGTGTTTACTGTCCGGATTGATGTATGAATCTTTCAAATGCCTTGTAGAATTTAATGATGATGACTGCGGTTGTCCTCATTAGGTTGTACGGCGATTGTGTACGTGCCACGAATGCAGTCCAGGGCATGACAACTTCTGTCCCCCTAAGATTGGGACAAGAAGGGGTGATGTGATTATTATGAATACTAAGATTGTGTGGTTGTTATTGAGTTGGTAAAATGTGAATAAAGTAAGAATGAATTGTAATTTCCCAAATATTACTAAATATTGTATGAGACAAACTTAGTGAAACAAATGAAAAAGGTAAAACGGAAAAAAAATATGGGGTGGAAGGAGTATTAACTAACCAAAAGTATTCTAAGTAAAATATATTCAAGAATATAAATAAGGTTCCCCATTTAATCAAGAAAGCTTTAATTACTAACACTATGGGGTTACCTTATTTTCGTAAAATTTCAGGGTAATTATGTCTATTGTTTCTTTTTTGGGTCAGGTCTAGCCTCCCAATATTTTGTTGTTTCACTTAAGAGATTTTGTTGTAGTCTCCCTCTTCTCGTGTATTTTCCTGCACATTAATAAAATTTGGTAAATATTCCTCGGCATTTACCCCACCATTAGGTGGTTTGCCTACCGGGTTAAAAAAATCACGAATACTCAAGATAATTACCAATGTAAATTATTAGTTCTCTACCCCAGAATAGGAGTCACGTGGTTTTGAGTCAAGGTTGATTGGACTAAACACATTTTTAATATATTTTTTCCGTCTTAGTCAAGGTACAAGTTTGGACTAGTTAAGAATGACTAAAGATACCCTATAACATTTCTCCAAGATTGATGGCAGTAATAGTATTTGATTAAAAACATATTACTTGATTGTAATATACTTTCACTTAAAACTTATTTATAATTATTATACATCAAAATTTCTACATTTTCTGGAACAAAACTATTGTCTCAAGAGGATAGTGTATTGATTGATAAGTAGGTCAAGTGAATAGAGGTTATATGGGAAAAGCGCCTTAAATCTCTTGCTCCGAGTTTATTTAATACTCCGTAGTTACCAGCATACATGAAATAATCTTGTTAAATAAAAACATTACGTACATCAACTTATATAATGACAAAAGGGACAAAATACAACTGAAAAATAAGATGAGTCATAAAATGAAAAATCAATTATTTCCCCCATATGGTATCATATATTCATATTACCATTACAAATTATATAGAAAAGAAAATAAGATCACATGTCGTGAAGAGGACAAAAACAATTACGCGGGCCAAGATCATCTACGAGGCAAGGAGGTTGAACATTTCCACCCGCATACCACATTTCCCTTTCTTGGACCAAATCATTAAAGAACATGTCGAGTGCTTCACTTGTGACACCAGGCATAACAATAACATGTGCCATTTTCCCCACACAAGAGAGTTGCCAACGACGGATGAATTCACGCTCACGAGGTCGCTCAAACACCACAGTTATAGTATTGTCATTGTGCATGGCGCTAATCCCTACCCCCTTGAGACGGTCACTCAAATGTTCCGCATTTTTTATGCACCTTTGAACATCATTTTGGAGTCCGTTCCAACCTTTGGTGCTGATACTATACCAAAGACAAATCGGAGTGAATCCGTTTCGACTACCCGAGATGGTGGCGTCTACTGAGGCAATGCACTCAACATTTCTTGAGAGGTTATGTATGAGGCGTTTTCTTGTTATTTGGATTCCACATGGCATTGGGCATCCTAAGAACTTGTGCCCAGATATTGTGACACTTCCCATCATTGGCTTCTTAAAAGTGATTTTTGGTACATTTTTTAAGAAGGGAACAATGAGCCCTGAAAGAGCTGCATCACAATGAATATAGACTTCTTCTTCTAAGTATCCACATTCTTCAAGTGTCTCTATAATGATGTCCAGGTTATCCAAGGCCCCTTTAAAGGTAGTTCCTACAACATTATGCAAACGACCTTTAATGAAATGTTGTATCATTTTGATCAAGTTATGGCGACAAATGTAGTGCTTATAAAGATTTTAAGGGCATAGATTGATTATACAACCAATGCAATTAATTATGAAATGAAAAATATTTTTTTCATTTTTAATTATTGACTTTAAATTTATCCACATTATTATTCTTTTGGCTATTATGAAAGTGACATGTTTGTCCTTCAACTATTACGAAAGTGACATTTTGGTTTTTCATTTATCGTAGCAAGACATAGTGGAAGGAATAAAATAAATAATAGTAGTAGTCGTAGTAGTAGTAATAATAATATAAATAGGAATAATTATAATAAGGATAATAATAATAATAGTAATAATAAGAGTGAATTCCCTAAATAGGACTAAAAAGTGGAAAAATTGCACAAATAGGACTACATTTTTTAAATTCCCTTAATAGGACTATTTATGTGTGTTTGGACAAATATACCCTTGTAACTTGTGAAATGTTTTAATTAATAATAAAATCATAAAAAAATTAATAAAAATCGAAAAAAATACTAAAAATCGTAAAAAAATAATAGAAAATTAATAAAAATATTTTTTTAAAAAAATAAAAAAAATATTTTTTTAAAAAAAAATAAAAAATAAATAAAAAAAATCATAAAATTAAAAAAAACACATTACCACCCCTGCCACCCCCAACACCACCATCTCCCATCACCGGACAAAAATATGCCAACATTTTAAATAATGCCATAATGATGGCATAATCAATGAAAATGTTGGCATATTGAAGAGTAATTATGCCATCTTTCTGGCATTTTCAGAAAAATATGGCATTTTTTTACCAAAAGTGGAAGAAATTTCACCAATCGAAGGTGGTGGTGCTGGGAGGCGGCGGGAGGCGGTGAGAAAGGTATCCATAATTTTTTTCATTTTTTATGGGTTTTTACTATTTTTTATTATTTTTTTAAAAAATTAAAAAAATAAAAAATTAAATTTTTTATTTTATAAATTTTTATAATTTTTTTTTAATTTTTTTACGTTTTTTAAATATTTGTTTACGTTTTTTGTGATTTTATTATGAATTAAAGCATTTCATTATGAATTAATACTCTTAGGGGTATTTAGGGTAGAAAATCAATGTTTAGTCCTATTTAGGGAATTTTAAAAATAGTAGTCCTATTTGTGCTTTTTAGGAACTTTTTAGTCCTATTTAGGACAATTTCCGTAATAATAATATTAATAAAGATCGATGATGATGACGACGAGAACAATGATAATGATAATCTACCAATATTGGCATTGATGATAGCTGGTTTTCCCTTGTTTTGAAGCAATTTTGATCTTAAATCGGCATAGTCCACTTCTCCATTGACCATAGTGTTGATCCTTTCAAATTCCATTCTATACATTTTTGCAGCCTTGAAGATTGAATAATGTGATTCATTTGATGCATATAATATTCCATTAGGAAGTACCTCTCTCCTAATAAGATATCACACTCCAATCAATAAATAATCTTCATTTGAGTATAAAATATGACTCTGTCGAAATGACAAGAATCGCTAGATAGCGATTGCTACTAGTTGAAGTATTGAGGGCCCTAACGGATCTTGGACATTAATTTTAATGGTTTAAATTTATTTTATAAATTTAAATTTTTGCAAATATAAAATTTTGCACAAGTACTCATATACATCTATGTTTAAAAAACCGACCCGACCCGGCCGGGTTGACCCGGAACCCGGTGACCCGGACAAAAAACCGGTTCGGTTTTTTCAAAACCCGGAAATAGTCAAAAACCGGAAAAACTCAGCTGACCCGGGAAAACCTGGTCAAGACCCGGGCCCAAGAAACCCGAAAAACCCGGTAAAACCCAGTTTTTGGGTGCTTTTACAAAAAAAAAAGTAATTTCTTTTTTATTTTTAATGCATTTTTTATACCAATAAAATTGCAATTTCAATACCTTAAAAAGAAAAACTATGTAATATATTTATATATTTATTTAAGAATGAACATCATGCCAAATTATAATATAAATGTACAATAAAAATAAAAATATCATTATATATTTTTATAAGATCAAAATATACATTGAAATATTATGAGAGTGTATTAATTGCTTAATAAGTAGTATTGTTAGTTGATTATTATGAATAATAACTAATTTTTATTATAATTTTACATATAATTATGTGTTTACTATTATTATATAGCCGTATAATCATTGACCGGTTTTCCGGCGTTGACCGGGTTGACCCACTGGGTCTGGGTTGACCCGTGACCCAGTCATGTGGCCGGGTCACTCTCCGGTCCGGTTTTTACAACATAGATATACATGTATTTTTACATTGCTGGTTAAAAATTTTGAGTGTTCTAGCATAGGTCCGCCACTGATTGAGGCCTTGAGGGTAAACATCCAAATACGAAAAAAGATACTCCATCCGTCCCTTATTTAGGTTCTCACTTTTCTTTTTGGATGTTCCAAACAAGTTCACACTTCCTTATTGGAAAATAATTTACACCAAAACAATGCAAAAACAGTGTCAAAATCGTGCAAAACAGTATCAAACAGTGTCACAACAATGTACTTTATAGTAAAACTTAACTCTCAGTAAATTTGTTTCCTTAATATGTGTGAAGTCAAAGTAGGAACTTAAATAAGGGACGGAGGAAGTATATGTGTGTAGTGGCGGATCCACCTTATTCAAGAATGGATATGTTCAAGTGAACACCCAATTTTTTGAAAATAAAATGCCAAAATACATGTATAGATTGATGAAATAATAGTTAGTTTGTATTTTTATAAAGTACTTACTTAGTTTTAATTAAATTTACTTTTTGTTGCTGAAGCAAATAATAACCTACAAATTGTTGGATCAAACAATATTACTACCTTCATCCCTTAAATTTTGGGCAAAAGAGAGTGGTGTGTATAGTATTTTAAGAAAAATAGAAGTATGTGAACGATATTGAATTGATAAAGTGAGAATAAAGTAAGAATGAATTAGAACAACCCAAATATTATCAAATATTGTATGGGACAAATTTAATGGGATAGACAAATATTTTTCTATTAATAAAATATATTTTAAAAATAATTTTCGCTTAAATTAGCAGAATCAGCCAATGCAGCTATTTCAGTCAGAACTTCAGAAATTTCAGCAGAAACAGCCAAATCAGCCGATTTTCGTGCTATCAAACGGGCTATATATATATATATATATATATATATATATATATATATATATATAGAGAGAGAGAGAGAGAGAGAGAGAGAGAGAGAGAGAGATCATCTCATCAGGCCGGCCTGACGGGCTGCCCCGTCCGGCCGAGCCCGTTTGGGCACCTTCCCGGTGGAATTTTTTGATGAAATTTTTTGAGAATGTTTCTCATCAAGTCTAGTTTGTCCATACCAAATTTCAGCTCAAAATTCGATCGGGAAGGTCGTCAAATGATTTTTGCAAGTTAACTGGTCCGGAATATGTATTTTCCGGACCAGTTAACTTGCAAAAATCATTTGACGACCTTCCCGATCGAATTTTGAGCTGAAATTTGGTATGGACAAATTAGACTTGATGAGGAACATGCTCAAAAACTTTCATCAAAAAATTCCACCGGGAAGGTGCCCAAACGGGCTCGGCCGGACGGGGCAGCCCGTCAGGCCGGCCTGATGAGAAGAGCTCTCTCTCTCTCTCTCTCTCTCTCTCTCTCTCTCTCTCTCTCTCTCTCTCTCTCTCTCTCTCTATATATATATATATATATATATATATATATATATATATATATAGAAATGTTCAGGTCCCTCCGGAGGGACGGGAGCCTCCGTCCGAACACCGCCGTTTGGGGCGGTTCCCGGTAGAATTTTTCGATGAAATTTTTTGAGCATGTTCCTCATCAAGTCTAGTTTGTCCATACCAAATTTCAACTCAAAATTCGACCGGATTCTGCGCATATATAAAGTGCAGTAATGGAACGAAATTAGTGCACATTCTGCGTAATAAATTTTTTTTTATGTGTGTTTCGAAGATTAGATATAATGGAACGAAATTAGTCATTTTCATTATAATATATGTACTCCACATAGACATGCATAATAACAATGGTAATTAATACTCATACTAATAGAAAAATAAATGTGCTAACGTACCCTAGTAAAATTCCATGTAAATTTCCTTCCGTGCCACCATTAGTAATGTAACCCCAATAGTCATCCTTCTCAATCTCCCATAGTTGAGCAAACCAATCCAAGACTCCAACTTCAAAATCTTTGGAATGAAAATCCATAGCGTTCTCCATGAAAGGATCACCACAATTGTTCAAGTGGTAACGCAATAATGGTGCTAAAATTGCATAGTGATCATAAACTATGTTTACTGGATAACCTATATATATGTACATATAATTAAGTCACAATAAATTTTACTATAAATAAAACTTAAAATGTAACTTTCGATTGTTATCGCTATTGGTCATGTAATTTTAGTCACTTGCAAATTTTATCTTGTATCTAATAAATCTTTGCAATTTAAGGACTTTTCCACCGGAATGTGCACTTTCCAACAGAAAAAATCGACGTTGGCGACATCTTTTCAGTATACTATCGCCGGAAAGTGTACTTTTCCGAGGAAAAGTCATTGAATCGCAAATATTAATTAGTTACAGGACCACATTTGTCAATGACTTGAGTTACGGGACTAATAATAAAAACAGTAGAAAGTCACGGGACAAAAATTGCAAATTTCTCAAAATAAATCTAGAGAAAAGGTACAAATATACCTCTGTAAGATGGGTGCGAGAATAAATATAGTCATGTTCTATATTTCGGAAAAAATATACCCTTGAAGTATTTGTTGAAGTGCATATATACATCTGAACTTTTAAAAAGTGTAACAATACCCCTTATGTTCTTATCAAGGAGCAAATTTACCCTTATTGACTTTAAATAGATAAAATAATATTCACAAGTGCCAAAAATAAATTATAAATTCTAACTTTAAAAATAAATATTTATTATTATGAATATTAAAGGCTCAAATAGGCTCTCGTACTAACTTAAAAAGTACAATTCACCTCTTATATAGGAGGCTCTGTCCTGTCGTCGCCAATTGGGATTGTTCCTGGTGGAATTTTTTGATGAAATTTTCAAACTTCTTCTTCATTAAGACTAGTTTACTCATACCGAATTTCAACTAAAAATTCAATCGGGAAGGCAGTCAAATAAATTTTTGAAGATAAATATGCAGTTAAACAACACAGTACATTTCTGAAAATCAGTTGACTGTCTTCCTGGTTGAATTTTTATCTGACATTTGATGTGGGTAAACTAGACTTAATGAAGAAGATGCTCAAAAAAATTCATCAAATAATTCCACAGGGAACCGCCCCAATTGGCGACGGCCGGACAAAGCCTCCTATAGCCTTTTTAAGTTAGTTTGAGGGCCTATTTGACCCTTTAGCCTTTTTTAAATAACATGATTTGACTATGTTTACCCTTAATAATATTAAATTCACAATTTTTTATTTTGGACTATTTATCATCATACAAAATATATACCTTTATAGTGCAAAGAATGCAAAAAATTAATATTTTTTTGCATTGCAACACATATGTTAACACTTTTTCGAAAGAACTAAAATATATAGTAAAGTTTTGAAAAACTATTTTATACTAACAATATTATAGTGTGATATAAAACAATTCAATGAAAGGGAGACTCGAACACAAGTACATTTAAAAAAAAATCGAATTTAAAATTTATTTTTGGTGTTTTTTGAAATTTACTTTATCAATTTAAAGTCAATAAGGGTAAATTTGCTCCTTGATAAGAAAATGAGGGGTATTTTTGCACTTTTTAAAAATTCAGGGGTATATATGTATTTCGACATATACTTCAGGGATATATTTGTTTGGAAAGATAGCACAGAGATATATTTGTTTTCACACTTATACTACAGGGATATATTAGAAATTAATTGAAGAGTGTATAATAGGAAAAAGTGACATATATTACTCATAGTTTGAGATCTATAGTTGTATTTAGGGCTACTTTTAGGATGTTTTCTTTTGGATTGAAATTTGCTGGTCTGGTCTGGTCTGGTCTCTGTGTATTTTATAACTACGGAAGTTTGGTCTGATCTGATCTGCTTTGGTCTAAAAGAAAACATCCTTAATCCTAGTTAGGGCCAACAACCAATTAAAGTATCAAACAACCATTAAAAGATACTCTAAAACATTTACTATGGCCTCCAAACTCTATTGCTAATACTGTAGAGTTGTGAATTTAGAGTTGTGACATTAAGATTACACAATTCATTGAGTTGTGACTTTTTTATAAACTATGCACCAGCTATATAAATTAACAACATAACATTATTTTAAAAATCAATAATCTATTTTTATCTGTGCATTATACCACAATTAATGGGGTAAGGGCTGAGAACACATGATCATATCATCAAGGTAGGGAGGGATAAAAACCAATAATCTCATTCGTACTATACATTCTAATATTAAAAAGACTCATTACTGCTTACTAACACTCATGGTAAATAAAAAAGTACATGTAATTCAAGAATTATATTCTTGGTTCTAATATGATTCATGCAGTAAAAAAAGTAATGAGTACCGCCTCTTACACCCTTCATCTTCAAATAAATTGATATAATTTTATTTTTTTTAATAATTAAATAATATTCTTTTGACCTGCATTACTTAATTAGGCTTTAATTTAACTACCAATACCATTTTTTAAAGCACTTCAATTGTAATACTTAAGTTATTTTTCCTATTATGTCAAGTTAGAGTGTGATACACTTAAACGTAGTGTATATTATAATGATATTTAATTTTTTGAATAACAAATTATAAAAATCCTACCCTTATGGCAAAAATTAAACTCGCCCCGAATCACAAATCTTGACCCCTGCCAACTCGATCATATAGGAAAATTTGACAACAATTACCTCACTTTCCTCTAGTGTTCTACGAATAATCTCATATGTTCTTAATATCATAATAATCTCATGGTTACACTTCTTTCAATGGTCACAGAACCATTATTTCAAATGTTTTTTGCATTTTTAGAAATATACATAAATAAGTTGATATACTGTTTTTTTTTGTTTTCCATTTCGTCACAGAAATCTTCTAAACATAATCCAATATACTGTTTTTTCCTTTTCGTCACTAGTAATTTTCTCTTTTTGTTTTTATCAATTCAGCACTTTTTTCTTTTTTCGTCTTATTGTTATCTTATTTGTTTCGTCTATATATGTATTTCTTTTTCGCCTTATCAGAAAACCCTTCTTGCAGAATTTCCCCTCAATAGCTTTTTCCCTTTATTCTTCTTTCCAATTCTTACTCTACTTCACTTTTAATTTTATTATTAATATTTGGTTAATATTTGGTTAATTCTCTTTTCTTAAAGATCTTTACCCCACTTCGATCAAAAAAAAAATCTTTACCCCACTGTTATTATTTTCTTTATTTTTTTTTTGAAATTTTCTTTGCTTTTTATTCTCCCTAGAAAAGAAAAGAAAATTTCAAAATAAAATAATAATAAGAGGTTTTTTCAAAAATATTAGTAAAATAAAACTTATTTGCACAAATTTGACTAAATGACTAATAGTTACCACAATGTAGTGTCATGATAACTTAAGTTTATAAGTTGAACATAAGTGACTATGATTCAATTACTGCTTTAGACTACTCACTAGTCACATTTTTGCAAACATACAATCTTTATTTTAGTCACAAATATGTACTGTAATTATTTCAAATAAAAATATGATAATGTGAAAACGATGTGTAGATATTATATATTGATGGTGAGTTAAGGTAACGAGAAGAAAAATAGAAAAAGGGTGACAATTGGAAAGAAATACTGTATAACGAAAGATCTATTGGGAAAAAGATCTGTTATTAAATGAGAATGAGTTTAGAAGATATATACAGAGTACATTAAAAGGTAAATGAAATTTAAAAAAAAAAAACAAGAAAAAGAAGAACAAGAAGAAAGGGAAAAAAACAACCTGGGAAGGAATTTTTACTAGTAGAGTGGGAAATAGAATACATATACGTGTAAATCTAAGAAAGAAAGTGTTTAGGCATACAAATAATGAAAGAAAGAAATTGGGGAGATCGAAAAAGAAAAAAAAAATGATACACGATATTACTTCAAGAACGTAACGTGAGTGAAAGGTGAGAATACTTGTTTAATACTATCGTATTTTTTAAAGAAATGTATAAAACCTGAAACAACATGTCAATAATCAGTCAGAAATTGACCAGCGAAAGATAATGAATTGCAAAAGTGAGTTTTTCTTAATCATTGCAAAAGTGAGATTATTAATTGCGAGATTACATAAATATGAGACTGTTTTAAGAAAAATCGGTGAAAGATGAGATTATTGTTGGGATTGTAAAGAATTGTTGAGGAATGTATACCCATATGAAAATTGACTCGTTGAGCAATGGTATCGAGAAACTTTTCCAATGTACATTTCAAACTAGCATCGTCGTCTCCGGATCGTGGCTCCGCCACCGTGATGTGCATGTTCTTTCTTGCCGAGTGTGGAATCGCCATTTTGGCCATCTTATTTTCAACAAATTATCTGTTGATGTACGTATTGAACGTTGCATAATTAGATTTCTTGATCAATAATAATATTATTTAGTGATATAATAGTAATATAAGTAATAATTTCAATAATAACAAGAGGTCTTCTAAAAATATTGCTGAAATAAATTTTAATTACAAAGATGTGACTAAAATTTCCTTGAGTATAATACGTGTCACTTGTGTGTGAAAATTAAACGTAAATTATTATGACTAATAGATCACATTTTTAACAACATTTATTAAAGTCATAAATAAGTAATTAATCATATTCATAATTGCAACAACGGGAAAAATTACAACAACAATAATAAGTAGGTAGAGCAATATAATTAGTGATTTTTTCAAAAAAAAATATTACAGAAAGTAAATTTATTTACAAAAAATGACTAATTAGTGCTCCTTTGAACATACTTTTTTATGCACGGGAAAATAAATGTTACTATGAGTATAGATGTATAGTGTTATTATACTTACTTCAGTAAACAATAGGTATACGTTACACTAGCTCTAATATACTCCATGATACACTAGTTATAATTAGTTGCCATTAATTATGTCATTTGACTACTTTGCATTTTAAAGCATGTTTGGTAATATCCAAATCGATTGTATTAACTGATTCTGTAGAAATTTATAAAATTATGGCTGAATTGGTTGGATTGGCTGATTTATGAAAAAAATGTATTTAACATATATTTTATAATTACTTACTAAAGAAAAAATTATACTCGGAGAGTATGAAAAATAACTGAAATGATCCTCTACGGTAACTTCAACCAATACGGTCAGAAAAGTAAGTTCAATCTTATCTTTTGTTATGATTACACAATTCGGCGCACAAAATCAAATATTTCGTGTTTGGGGAAAAAGTTGACTGATAAGTCGGAAGCATAGTCACCAAACGGGCTCTTAGTCTTTGATGTTCACGTCGCGACTCTAAGTGGCGGCTTTGTTTAAATAAACCGGATTTCACTACATAATATTTTGAGAATTATTTTTAATACAGTCCTGCTTTTGTAATTATTTTGCATAAATTCCGGAAAAAACTCTAGTTTTAAAATTGAAAAATCAGTCAATATTGGTGGCGGAACTTCTAAGGGATCGGGCTTGGGGGCCTGGCCCCTTCACTTTTTATTTCTAATTTTGAGGTCGTTTGGCAACATTGTTTTTCGGCTTATCAGACAACTTTAATTTTTCACCAAACACTTAACTTTTGCTTTCACGCGCTGAATTGTTAATAAGTAGAAAAAATAAGGTTGAAGTTACTTTTCTGTCCGTATTGGCTAAAGTTACTGGAGATGACTATTTTAGCTATTTTTACATATAATTTTTCTTTATTTTATTAATAAAATATATTTTAAAAATAATTTTTTTCTGAAATAAGCAGAATCAGCCAATGTAACCACTTTTCGTGCTACCAAACGGGCTCTATATATGTGTATGTATATATGTGTGTGTGTGTGTAGGAATATCCTATCAGGCCGATTAGAAAGGAGCCGATGTACGGCCGCCTGGCCCGCCTCCATTTGACGTGCTTCCGGGTGATTTTTTTTATGTAATTTTATGAGCACGTTCTTAATGTACATTGTGTCCACCAAATTTCACCCTAAAATTCAATTGGAAAATTTGTTGAATAAATTATTTAAAAACATTTCACCAAAATCCAAATAAAAAAAATGTAGTATCTTTCATTAATTATGTCATTTGACTACTTTGCATTTTAAAGCATGTTTGGTAATATCCAAATCGTTTGTATTAACTGATTCTGCTGAAATTTATAAAATTATAGCTGAATTGGTTGGATTGGCTGATTTATGAAAAAATTGTATTTAACATATACGTAGTATTTTACTTACTAAAGAAAAAATTATACTCGGAGAGTATGAAAAATAACTGAAATGATCCTCTACGGTAACTTCAGCCAATACGGTCAGAAAAGTAAGTTCAATCTTATCTTTTGTTATGATTACACAATTCGGCGCACAAAATCAAAAGTTTCGTATTTGGGGAAAAAGTTGACTGATAAGTCGGAAGCATAGTCACCAAACGGGCTCTTAGTCTTTGATGTTCACGTCGCGACTTTAAGTGGCGGCTTTGTTTAAATAGACCGGATTTCACTACATAATATTTTGAGAATTATTTTTAATACAGCCCTGCTTTTGTAATTATTTTGCATAAATTCCGAAAAAAACTCTAGTTTTAAAATTGAAAAATCAGTCAATATTGGTGGCGGAACTTCTAAGGGATCGGGCTTGGGGGCCTGGGCCCCTTCACTTTTTATTTCTAATTTTGAGGCCGTTTGGCAACACTGTTTTTCGGCTTATCAGACAACTTTAATTTTTCACCAAACACGTAACTGTTGCTTTCACGCGCTGAATTGTTAATAAACAGCAAAAATAAGGTTGAAGTTACTTTTCTGGCCGTATTGGCTAAAGTTACTGTAGATGACTATTTTAGCTATTTTTACATATAATTTTTCTTTATTTTATTAATAAAATATATTTTAAAAATAATTTTTTTCTGAAATAAGCAGAATCAGCCAATGTAACCACTTTTCGTGCTACCAAACGGGCTCTATATATGTGTATGTATATGTGTGTGTGTGTGTAGGAATATCCTATCAGGCCGATTAGAAAGGAGCCGATGTACGGCCGCCTGGCCCGCCTCCATTTGACGTGCTTCCGGGTGATTTTTTTTATGTAAATTTATGAGCACGTTCTTAATGTACATTGTGTCCACCAAATTTCACCCTAAAATTCAATTGGAAAATTTGTTGAATAAATTATTTAAAAACATTTCACCAAAATCCAAATAAAAAAAAAACGTAGTATCTTTCAATAATTTTTTAACAGAACTTCTTATTACAAAATTTGGTGGACGACATCCTTACAAAATTTCATCAAAAACGTTTGCGGGAAGCACCTCCCGTGGAGGCTTAGAAGTGGTGATGGTGTAAATAGTGCTCAAAGGCATGTAGGCAATTTTGCGGTGGTAGATTGTACCATGGCCGACCGGCCGGTGGAGCCCATCTAACCTAGGTGCCTTTGTGAATTGCCGGCTCATTGTTATAAGTTGGCTAGGATATATACTAACCGGATAAACTCTAGCGTTGGGCGGCGTGGTAGATCTTTCCACTGATTTCCTTGCTTTATGTACGTATAAAAGGCCGCCGGCCGGAGAAGCTAATAATTACGGTAGCTAAGCTAGGAATTGAACAAGAGGCTTTGTAAATTTGTTCTTGGTGTGTGTAAGTATTCTAGTCAGGTGTAGGTGTAGTATTTTGATGATTTATGGTTCTCTATTTATAGAATTGTAGAATTGTTGATTCAAGTGCAAAGAGCTCGTTTGATAACACAAAAATTGGCTAAATGTGTTGATTATCTACTTAAATTTATAAATTTTTAGTTGAAGTGGATGAATTGACTGGTTTTGTTGATTTGTGAAAAAATTATATTTAAAATACTTCTTATTAATAAGATAAATAAAAAGTTATGTGAAAATAGCTAAAATGATCCTCTATAATAACTTCAACGGAAATTGTCCTAAATAGGACTAATGAGTTCCTAAAAAGCACAAATAGGACTACTACTTTTAAAATTCCCTAAATAGGACTAAACATTGATTTTCTACCCTAAATACCCCTAAGAGTATTAATTCATAATGAAATGCTTTAATTCATAATAAAATCATAAAAAACGTAAAAAATATTTTAAAAACGTAAAAAAATTATAAAAAATTTATAAAACATTTATAAAATAAAAAAATTAATTTTTTATTTTTTAAATTTTTTTAAAAAAATAATAAAAAATAGTAAAAACCCATAAAAAATGAAAAAAAAATATGGATACCTTTCCCACCGCCTCCCGCCGCCTCCCAGCACCACCACCTCCGATTGGTGAAATTTCTTCCACTTTTGGTAAAAAAAAATGCCATATTTTTCTGAAAATGCCAAAAAGATGGCATAATTACTCTTCAATATGCCAACATTTTCATTGAATATGCCATCATTATGGCATTATTTAAAATGTTGGCATATTTTTCTCCGGTGATGGGAGTTGGTGGTGCTGGGGGTGGCAGGGGTGGTAATGTTTTTTTTTTAATTTTATGATTTTTTTTTTAATTTTTTAATTTTTTTTTTAATTTTTTTTTTTAATTTTTTTAAAAAATATTTTTTATTAATTTTCTTTTTTTTTTACGATTTTTAGTATTTTTTTCGATTTTTATAAATTTTTTTATGATTTTATTATTAATTAAAACATTTTACAAGTTACAAGGGTATATTTGTCCAAACACACATAAATAGTCCTATTAAGGGAATTTAAAAAATGTAGTCCTATTTGTGCAATTTTGCCACTTTTTAGTCCTATTTAGGGAATACCTATACAACCAGAAAACTAACTCGAAAAAATGACATATACTCCCTCCGTCCCGCAAAATTCTTCCCACTTTCCTTTTTGGGCCGTCCCACAAAATTCTTTCCACTTACGGAGTACCATTTTTGGACAAATTGTGTAGTTCACATTCATTTCACATTTTTCTTACACAACCACAATCATACATTTCCACTTTATTCCACTTTCTTAATCTCCGTGCCGAGTCAAATTGGGAAGAATTTTGCGGGACGGAGGAAGTATATTACTAACAAATTTCCCCTGACAAAAATATAACTAGTTATGTATTTGGACAAAAATATGACCAGTCATTTTGTGGAAGTAATTGGACAAAAATCACTATAGTGCATTTCAGAAAGACAAGTCACTGATAGATGATAAATCATTGCAAACTAGACATTGAATATGTCATTTTTTGGATAATTTTGAATAAATAATATTTTTGTCTTTTGAACTAACAAAGTTGCTTGGAAGATGTTCTCTTCACCTGATCTTAATGTTTCAGATCTGAATTTTTTAAGTTCTGATCTGATCTGAATTTATCTGATCTGATCTGAATCTTTCTGATATGGTCTGATCTAATCTGAATGTTTCTGATCTGGTCTGAATCCTTCTGATCTGATCTGATCTGAATCTTTCTGATCTCATCTGATCTGAATATTTCTATAAATATAATTATAATTATTATCAATATAAATTATAGATATAATTTAAATAAAATTATAATTATAATCATAAATATAAAAAAATATAATGATAATTAAACTTAAATTCAAAATTATAATAATTATACCAATTACACTAATTATAACTATAGATATAATTATAATTGTAATTATATTTTTAATTATATAATCATAATTACTTATATAATTACTTATATAATTACTTATATAATTATAATTGTAAGTATAATTATTATATTTATTTCTATAGTTATAATTATTTCTATAATTATAATTATAATTACTCGCATGATAATAATAATTATAACAACAATAATAATAATAGTAATTATTATTATTATTATTATTATTATTATAATTATAATAATATAATAATATAATAATATAATAATATAATAAAAATAATAATAATATAATAATAAATAATAATGCTAATAATAATATTATTATATTAGTATTATATTATTATTATTATATTATAATTATATTAACATATTATTATTATTATATTATTATTATTATTAATTATAATGAAATAATTATAATAATTATTATAATTAATATGATAATAAAAGTGATAAATCATGTTTGAAATTTTCTGATCTGATCTGAATGATTCTGATCTGAACGTTTCTGATCTGGTCTGATCTGATCTGATCTGAACGTTTTTGATCTGATCTGAATGTTTTTTATCTGATCTGATCTGATCTTTGTGATCTGATCTGATCTGATCTGAATTTTTCTGATTTGATCTGATCTGATCTGAATAAAATAAGAGTAAGCAATAGGTAATAAGAATAAGACCAAAGAGAATAGCTTCTTGGTCGCCTAAACCGAGTTAACTAGGGGCAGAGCAAAACTGATAAATGGGGGCCAGAATGTGACAGCCAAGTAAATAGCAAAACATGTCTATGGTGTCATTTATCCATGAGTACCTTCCAAAATGCTTCGGACATAGGAAGTACTACATAGTTGTTTTAGTAGGCTGCCTGCAACCGAAGTAGATGTTTTCACCCAAAAAAACACACCAAACCTATGTATTGGGAGACTAAAGTGGGTATACGGCTGCCGAGTTGGTGGAATTTGGCACCCTATTTTCACTCGTTTGCCTTGCTCGAACAAAGAGCCGGAAGAAGAAAAGAGCACAAATAGAGTAAGAGATGGTGTGGGCTAAGCTCCAAGAAAAAATAAAATCTCCTTTTTATTAAAAGATTTATAACATTTTTATTTGTACTTAAACTTATAAAAAAATAAATGTCAAAATTCTTAATTTTTTTATCTTTCATATGACACCAATATGACATATATAAATTTAGAAAAAATATACTCCGTATAAAATTTTAAGTGCCAAAATTTAGATTTCATGTTTAAAATATTCTTTTTACACCCCCTTTTCAAAAATGGGTCTAAAATAAAAAGAAAAAAATTGGATTCCAAATTTATTTATTTTTACATCAGAATGTTTGAGTTTTTTAATCTTAATCAATCTCAAAATAAATAAATAAATAAATAAATAAATAAATAAATAAATAAATAAATAAATAAATAAATAAATAAATAAATAAATAAATAAATAAATAAATAAATAAATAAACTTTGCTAGATGAATATATTGACGGTGGCTGGGTTGCAGTAAAATCTGAATTGATTGAATGAATACGTATAAAATAGTTGGAAATTTAATTTATTGATGGATGCGGGTGTCAGAGGACTGAACAAAAAGTCGATTTTTTGTACTCCCTCCGTCCCCCTAACTTTGTCCCGTTTTACCTTTTTCGTCTGTCCCATTATGTTTGTCACATAGCATATTTGGTAACATTTGGGTGGTTACAATTCATTCTTACTTTATTCACACTTTATCAATTCAATATCAACCACAAAAATCCACTTTTCCTTAAAAGTTGTGTCACATAGTAGGACGGAGGTACTAGCACAAATACCCACTTTAGTATTCAAGTGAGCAAGTGGGAAATTTGGCCTCCTATTTTCACTAAGGGTTGGTTTTCAACTACTTTTAAAAAAATACTTCTCAGTTTTTGGTTTTAGAAAAACACTTATTTTCCCGAACACTACAACTTTTATTTTTCTCGGCTTCCGCGTCAAAAGTGCTTTTACTTTTTCTATTACACAAAAAGCACTTATTTTACCAAACACTACCCACTTTTACTTTTCAAAATCATTTTTTTTCAAACACTATCAACTTTTATTTAATCATTTCTCCCTATTTCATAAAAAAGCACTTTTTAAAAAGCATAAGCTGTTGCAAACAGGCCCTAAAGTGGGTTGTACCGTTGTAGCACATGCAAAATAATACTCCATCTGACAAGTGCGCTTGTAAAACGGGAGCCTTGTGCCCACTTAGCCAATTTTTGAGAGGTACAACTTCAGTACCCTTCTAAAAAATGGGGTACTGTACCTACCATTCATTTGATTGGACCACATCATTTTATCATTTTTAATTTACATTTAAATAATTCAACTGCTACATTCTCATTAGCCCATGTGGACAAAGGTGATGGAGTATATGGCCCGGGAACCCCCGGGCCACATACTCCTACTTTTACTACGCAGGCCCATCAAGCCCAATGATCATGCAAAGCCCAAACATAGTGGCCCAAGTATTAAGAAGCCCATGGCTCACATATTGTTGGTCCCGTTTATGAGGTAACAGTCTAGGGGGAGGTGATTAGACTGTTATGGTTTTTAACTTTTTCAAGCTAAGTACCAAGATTAACAGAATAGCCTGTTCTGTTGAGAACAGACTGGCAGCAGAGGTCTTCTAGTAGGTGTTCTGTCGGGACAGCCTCACAGAGGGTCAAAGGCACTTGGCCTTCTGTTAACTCACAAGAGGTGTTCTGCTGAACACAGATACTACTTCTTTGGAGTTAATCAGTTTGCAAGAAGTAAAGGCAGTAAGTAAATGACACCAGGGATTTTTATAGTGGTTCAAGGAACAACTCGTTCCTCTAATCCACTGTTCCACTAAGCTTGTAATAAACCAATTACAATGCTTAAGTCCTAGCACTTAAGAAGCTCTCCACGTCTTCTTCAAGTGTAGATGTCTCCTGGGATGCACTTCCTTGCTTCCTTTAAGACTGATCCTTTCATTGAGCTTCCTGGAAGTATACCCACTTCACCACTCTAGTTACTTGGACGCCCTTCTTTGTAGAAGATGTTCTGTCAGAAAAACAGAGTTTTTCTCCAACT